TTCTTAGTGCCCTCAATCTGAGACAGTGGAGGAGAGACGATCACATGATACAGTTTTCAAAGATTGGATTCAGTTCTTTTATGGCTTAGTGTGATTTTGTTAATAGGTTATTGTATACCTAAATAGTGCAATTTTTATTGTTCTCTAATTATATGAACTGCATAGAAATGTGAATTCATTTACATCATATAAGACTCCTAGCTTTTGGTTTTAAGTGCTGGTGGTGGGGGACAGATGCCAAATAACATTATTCAGTGTGGCCGGGCCAACACACACTGTACAGAGTGCGAGCATGAGCAACAGGATGCTGACTGCAGTTCACAATGGCCAATGCTTTTCTGAAAGTTATATTTAGAAACCCAAAGAGGAGTTCAGAATATGGTATACTGCAGCAATAGTTTAGAACAGATCAGATGTTCTATTATTTTAGCACCCAAAAGTTTCCAGCTGCAACAAGACACTAATTGCAATAATCTACAGTAAGACTGCTCAGAAAAGAAAGTACAAGTGACTATCTCTTTAAGTAAGTAAATTAAAAAAAGGAATATCTTTACAAAGAAGAGTACATGTGAAACAAACATATATGAAACATTTAACCGTCCTTGGATACTGTATCCGTGTCCTATTTTAATGCACAGCAGATACCATCTCAAACCATATAATCAAGCTATATCTGGTCTAATGACTGCATGCACATACACCTTTTGAAAACAATGAGGACAGTGGTCGATGCAAAGAGGGAGGAAGTGAGGCCTACCTCTGTTGTGACAGAGCTGTGCAGAGAGGGCAGGATCTCATCGACACTCTGAATCAGACTACGGAGAGTGATACCCACGGCCTGAGGGAGAGAGGGAGGCAAAAACAGGTGGTGGGTGTGATGGGGGGAGGGAAGAAGGAGGACGGGAGGTGGAAGAGGGAGAAAGTTGGGAGAAAAAGGAAAAAGTAGCAGCATTAAAACCAAAAAACTCCCTCCATAACCTGACAGAAACTTAGGCTTTAGATCTGTCTGCTGTGACACAACAGTGCCCTCCCCTGTTCACTAATATATCTGAAAAATGGCATTATAGGCTCTTAGTCTAAGGAATATTACTTCATGTTGACCATAAACATGATGAAAAAGACCAACTTAGATGGGTGCTGGATCAAAAAACAGTCTATGAAACAGAAACTTGTAGAAAACAACTGGAAATGTCAGAACTCAAAATGTCACTTGCAATATTTGTTTGACGGGAGCTACTTGGTGTGTGGCTTTTTGACCTAAATTTTATGAGCAGGTGGCAGCTTATTCATGCTCCCCAGAGGATGAACCCCTACCTCAACTGCCACAAACTTTAACCATATTTGTCATTTTTCAAGTGTTATCGAGAACAGTCATGTTAAATAGGATATTCGCAGAAACAAAAACCAGCAAAAACATTAATCAGAGTAGTGTACACACACTGAAGCACACACTTGCACCTACTTTGACAGCGTTGGGATACTCGGAGGCAGGCAGTGTATTGACATCATTCTTCAGCTGGACCACCTGTTTCACCATTGCCATGACGCCGGTGTAAACTTGATCACCTGATCGGTCCAGCTCAGCTGTGGGCCGAGGCTACAACGACACAAAATGTATTCTTTAATGACCAAATTTAATACATAGCTCTGCATTTCAATCCTACAATTGTCAGCCGTACAACTTTTGTGGTCGTCTTTACTGCTTGATCATTCTTTTCTTAATAAAGAAACACGTCTAAATATATCTTCTACCAAATTTATACCAGAGGAAGTTTTGTTTTACCTGTGTGACTGTGGGGGGCATTGGGGGCTTCTCTGGAGGACCTGACAGAGACAGAAAAAGCTTTATATCTCCACCCACACATT